GGACAACTCGCCCCTCCCCCTCCCCTGACAGCTCACTGTCTCCCCCTTTCACCGACCTCAACCCCCTCCCCCGACAACTTGCCTCCTCCTCCCTTCCCCGTTTCCACCCCTGCTGACGTCAATAGAGACCATATACAACACTATGACGAGTATTCTACATAGAAACAAACACATAGACGTTCGTACTGACTAGGCAGGCGTTACATGAAACATACTTCCTACAATATCGGAAATACGTTACCATGGATACACGTACTTACCCCCGCCATAGTTCGTCAATAGCAAATGTCCGTCCGTCGTTATGACTCTGCCATCCTCCCTTCGCTGAAAATATGAAAATGAAATGTCATCATTCCTAGAATTATATTCTCAGCTGTAACGTGTGTACACACAAAGGAATATAGTCTGCCTGAGCCTACACAACCACAGCCATCGATAAGTGTTGTGTATCTCCAAGCACAGCCGACAGAAATGGCGGGAAAAATCGATACGTTAACGGCGGTCGGCACCAATGCCGTGGGACTCAACTGGGCACACTGTAGCTACATTGATGATATTTCCGTGACGTCACAGAATTAATACAAGTTCGAAGCAGAACAGTATACACACAATATAAACAGTATTATTACATGTACTGTATAGCACTTATACACACATTTATATCAACATGAGCAATCATAGCCGGTTATAAGTGTACTAGTGTTAATTTGAAATAAAATGAAATGTAAAAACGCTACAATGTACAAAGCTTTTATCCGGTACACTTTACGCTCGTTTAGATGTGCCCCTCTCCGTGCACCAACCTAGTCACAACATCTATCCCCCCACCACCATCCCGACCTCACCTCAGCCTCCAACCCGAATCTGAATTCCGACCCCAACCCGAATCCCTCATCCATCCCCCTTGACCAAACTTGATTCCAACCCCCTCTCATCCCCAACCCAGACTTTCTTACCCATTCCTTCGACCAAACTCAAATCCCTGCCACCCCCTCGTAACAACCCGAACATCACCCACATTCCTCCGAAATCAATCAGGAATCCCTCACCAAGCCCTGCTCCAACCTAAGTACCGCCCCCAACACGAATCCAAACTCCGTATCATAGGGACCTGATAATTTGGTACCGCTATATTTGGACCTATACTAAAGTGTTCATGGTAATTTTACACGTTTTATAGGTTCAGATCAACTTTCGGTCGAAATACCACCCCACTGATCATAGTTAGGTCCATTTAATAGCTGTTACCAATTCGTAGGCCCCTGTGCTCCGTACCAACCCGAATCCCCAAATAAATACCTTGTTCTACTACAAAGCCATTTATTTTATTTAATGAAACTCGCTCGATACGGAGAGCAAATACCGATTTAGTTGACGTTTCCGTCCTGGTACGATCATTGTTAGTATTGTACTTGATTAAAGCGATCTAGTGGACGTTTCCGTCCCGTTAGTGACGATCACTGTACGAATTGTACTTGACTAAAGTAGGGCTAAGTTGATTAAGGAACCTCGTACCACTGACAAACACTTTGTATTGGAAACTTCAACCTGGTATGATGAGATATACACATTCTACTTGACCAAAGCAGTGCTGAGTCAATTAATATTTTCGTACACACATGTACCACTGACAAAAAATGGTTAATTTGTATTGAAAACTTAAACTGGGTGAGCCTTCGATTTTGAGCGTAACGACAGAATGTCTAACAAATTGCAATTTGTATCAGGAAATCATTCCCGCGAAAGGCGAATACCTTTTGCGTGGCTAGGTAAAACTAGTTATCTACCCTCCCATAGATGCCAAACATTTCTTTTCGTCCACTATCAATTTAAATGTTGCAGACAGAAAGTAACTAGTCCTCGCCAGCCTGCTGTTCTTTCCCCACAATTAATACGATTAAGGAAATGCATATTAACCGAGTGATGAAATAAAAACGCAAATCATCAAATAATACCCTAGATATGAGAATACCTCGTAATGAAAGACTATGTTTAAAGTATAATTTAGGCGATCTTGTTTGTCCATTTCACAACCAAGTAAGAACACAATACATCGATAGATATTACAGAAGTATACCGTATATGTTTAAATTAAATAACGTACTTTCTGTTAGAAATAAGAATAAAATTGAATAATCTTTCCAAATTTTTAATTTCTGCTTCACAACTGAGATCAAATGAATAATTACACAGATTGTCCTTCCTCCATAATATGTCTGTATTGCTGTATATCACTAACTCAATTTTGTAAAATGTGTTGTAATGATTATGCTGATTAGCCGAAAGGCTAAAGTCCAATAAACTAAACTAAACTAAACCCCTTTGGTCCAAGAACAGGTTATGGTCTTGTAAACAGGATTAAGAGAAATACACGGCCAGACCAGGGTTCGAACCCGGGACCCTCAGCACTCTAAACGGACGATCTAACGATTGAGCTACCTCGACCGCTGACGATCGACCCAGTCCAGTTCAACTACATGCTTTTGTCTCCCTGTCACGCGAGGAGGTTTAATCGTACAGGCACACTTTAATTGTAGAAACATAAAAGCCTATCTTATTCCGTATAACAATTAACTCATCCACCCCTGAAATTCCATAATGAACTATTCCAACATTTGAATGGGAAGAGTTCAAGTGTATTCAGGGGTGGATGAGTTAAAACATAACGTTCGTGGGGTCTCGAGATTGATCATATTATACATATATATCCAAAGAGAATAACAACACAACAGGAAACCTTATAAGATTCGCGCGCCACGGTTGTCGTCTGCTTCAGTCATATAGAGGTACATGTCTGTAAACAGAAATGAATGAACACATGAACCTTAACACGTCAACATCCGTTACCAGTGTGTCATGTGTTTTCATAGTTTACAGACATGTTCCCTACCCCTAAACCCTCACCATTTAGAGTTCCCAGCCCCTTAACCCTCTCCAATCACTTGACCGGACACTGTAAGACGGGGTACATGGTAACCCCCCCCCCCCCCCCCCCCCCCCCCCCCCCCCCCCNACCTTAAGGCTTTTCCTGTCTCGATTAACTATACTGGTGGCTTGAGTGAACACACATACATGTAATGTATATATTACGTTTACAATCCACCTACCTGATAACGCTAATCTCGTACTTAGATCTCAGGTCAACGGTGATATAGCGTACTCCGGCTGACCGTTAACGTTTAGCACACTATAAATAGCACAAATACACCACCGGACAGTTTACGTGTTCCGTGGTAAACACACTTATACCTGCTGACCATACTTTTCATATAATTCACCACATTGTAAATGCGTTCTTTACTGTACATGTGACGTCTTCCGTGAAGTCAGCAGTACCTGTCCATGTTTTTAAAACAAGCAAGTCAAAACGATAACACATTATGATTCTCGTCGAGAATGCTGATAACACTATACGAGTCTCACCTTTATAAAAAATAGCCATTTGACAAGCATACCTGACAGGTACACACGTATCAATATCAAACGAACACACGAATCATAAACTATGTACGGCTCGTATCTTTGACTTACCTGTGTCTCCAACACCGGTGATCACACGTTTACCTGTCGATGTATGGCTTACCCGACCAATTTCTGACAGGTGCGTGCACGAACTACAAGGCTTTGTGATATAAACATCGTCCAATAGACACTCACCCTTAAACGGGTTAAATGTATACACCTACTTATCAGACAATTTAACAAAGCCGAAATAAATGAGACACCGTTTTTGACAGACTTGTTAGATTGATAGTGTTTAATTTATATTTTAATTTTAAAAATAAAATGAATTAAATATATCTTTCCATTTATTTTACAGAATATCAAATCTATACAGTGAACCCCGTTATACTGCCACAATGTTTCCGGTGATTGTCTAGCTTATTTTAAAAAAAAATAACATGTATTGTTGATGCGACATGTTCTGGCAGTTCATTCCAAACTGTCACTGTTCTGATTGAAAAATGGTATTTTCTGATCACATTTGGTTTTGTCCTCTGCCACTGTGGCGATCAGCGGCATCTTTTCACAGTTTAATAGCATTAAAACATGTATTGCTGTATCATAAAGAGATATGGCGGGTTCCCCAAAGCTATGTTACGCTAGTGCGCGCATCCAACCGTGCCCTGTTATGACGCGTCCTCAGGTATTTTTTATACGGGTAGCAATATCGGAATCCCGTGTCTAAGAATAGATAATTGTAAACAGTCCACATATTTGGTATTTCGGCATTATTTGTTGGTGTTTAAGCACTTGATATACTTACTATTGCCAGTTGGAGGGTAAAACAATTCATAAATTTCATCAAAAATAGTCTTACCTACAAAGCGTAGCTGTAGTGTACACGTGTACAGGGATTTGTTGACATGCTTCGATAAAAGTATGTCGCACTAAATAATTAAGAAATTATTACTAACAAAACTGATAAATCAATAGGTATGCTATTAAAATGAAAACAAAATTTTACATCGATTTAAAAAAAACACTATTGCCTTATTAAGGAAAATGATCACATGCCTAAATATTTAAAAAAAAAAAAAAATGAAGCAGGATTCGAACCTGCACTGTTTATTTTCTAGTCGCAAGTAAACTGCGTTACAGATTCGGCTACATAGAACATATAGATATTGGCAATTACAAACTTATTTAACCCGTGAAACACCGGTCGCAGTTTAGAGAAACTTGATTACCCCTGTTTTTCATTATTTTGAGCACTTTCCCAAAGGAGGACCACTTTTCCGTAATACGATTTGTTTTTGCAAATAACATCACGGTCACAAAAAGTTTATTCAAAAGTTGGTCCTCGGATGGGAAAGTGTTGAAAGTATTTTTTGAAGTCCGGGAAACCCCATCACTTTCATAGATATAGTGTATATGGCTATATTTGCAGTATCATATTAGCAATACCTAATTTCTCAGCAGTATAAAAATTCATATTCCAATTGGCTTTGTATTTTTTGTATGCACTTTTGCTACCCGAAAGGCTTTACTCCTTATTTTTTCCCCCGTTTTCATAAATGCCGACTTAGGGAAATACGGGCAGTTTTCCGCCATACCTCTTTGACTTATTATTTTGTACAGTTCTATCATAATTCTCCCCTAATTCTCCCGAAGGGCAGTGTTGGTACATGAAGCTTTAGTTTCTCTAACCTTTCCCTGCAGGTCAGGTCCTTCACCTTTGAACTCCCTCTATCTTGTCAATGTGTTTTTGTAGGTGTGGTGCCCACACATGCCTAGCATATTCCAGCTGCGATCTTACTAAACATTCATAAAGCGGAAAAGATAGTAGAGAAGTGCGAAAGGTAAATATATAGACCATAAGTGCTGGTTTCTTCAATTTCCCCATAAACAGATTCGCCTCACCCCGATTCTGGAATATATCCAGAAATTTATTCTTAGATATATCAAGTGATTTATACTTAAAGACATATATCATGTAGAGATTTTATGCTTCAAATTATCTAGATATTTATACTGAAATATGTCAAGTAAATATCAATTATCAAGGGTGGTTGGATGGAGAAGTGGAAAGCACACTCGCCTTTCACCAAGGCGGCCGGGTTCGATTCCCCGATCGGACGTGAACAGGTTTAAAGTCACCTGCCCGACCAAGTGAGTTTGTCTACAGGTACTCCGGTTTCCTCCCACATAAAGACCACCCGCGCGCTAACACCCGGGCCAACAACAGTGATCAATGTATTAAAATTAAAATTACTTGTTTCATAATTGTTGTAAAATAAATAAAGTTGTATATTCCGCAGTCGGTCCTCTCCACATTAGTTGCCTCTACGATTTCATGCCACGAGAACCTGCAGGGATCATAGTTAAAAAAAAACATTTGGAACAGCTGAAAACAAAAAATGGGATTTTATTTTCGTTTTATTTCAAGCTAACTAATCGCAAAAAGACATAACTCTATGCCCACTCTGCACTAACAATAGGAATGGAATTTCAAGGTTGCGCGATACCAATGATTACACTGATACATTGATGCAAGTTATACAAGAAAATACAAATACAAAATACACAAGCAATATGTCAACACACGGAAATATTCAAAATAGTTCAGGAAAACATAAAACATAAAACATAAAAAAATATTGCTAATATGTTGAGCGTAAAATATTTCGACAAGGAGGCTCCGTCAATTGTGACGTTTATGTCCCGGGGGGGGGGGGGCTGGGGTCCTATTGCAGAGGCGTGAAATAGGGGTTATTTACAGTGATTAGTTGGAGGGGGGGGGGGTTGTGATTTTTTGTGCAAGGAATAGATAAAAGATAAAACCTGGGGAATGTTTTAGAGTGTGATGAGGGCTTCAATGCCTGCATAAGGTAAGTGTCCCTTGAAGTCATCTAGTGTTGTGCATTGTACTGCTGCTATGGGTAGGACATACCATTGTGTTATTGTGTGTGGAAAGAATGAATATGTGTAGGTGTCCTTTGTAGCAGATATGTGTTTGTATGCGTGAGGGCGTGCATGTCTGGTACGATGGTCTACCGGTGTGAGTATATGTGTTGGGTTTATGGCTACTGTTTGGTGTATACTTTTGTGAAAAAGAATAATTCTTGTGTGACAGCGCCGTGTTTGTAGTGTTGGCCATTGTAGTTTTTGAATCATATCTGTTACGGAACTAGTGTTGTGGTATATGTTGTGTACGTAGCGTGCTGCTCTTCGATGTGTTTTTTCTATTAACAATAAGAAAATTTAAGTTATTTCCTTTCAGAGGTATTTGGGAATTTATAATTTACAAAAAGCGACCTAAAGGCCCGCACGTTGAACTTAATTATTTCAACAAAGTAAATAACGTATTTCTAACAAGAAATATTTTAACAATGCAAGTCAATATACAAGTGTATATTGTTCACAAAGATAAATTCAAACATCCAAATTAAGAAAAATATAAAATGTTTCAATTCAGATTACAGAAATAAAACAAATTGTACATAGGAAGAAAACATGTGCTTACCTGTAAAATAAAGGATAGAGACAGCTTTTAGTTGATCTTACTTTTATTGAGTGTCGTCGAAAAGTGACGCGAAACACAGATTTTGGTTAGATCAAAGCTGTTGTCTCCAGACACAGGCATGCGCACAGGTACGCGTGGGTACTTACAATAGGTATATCAATCTCTGACATGTAGAACTCGCAATTAATGGTAATTATTTACATAATGATCACTCACCACACAAGGGGTGTAAACCACGGTAAAATACCCAAATAAATATGTCGTGTCAATATAATAACCATTAGCTGGACCGCGTCCCTGACACCTCGCATCCTAAGTGCTTAAACTATTTTTGACATGAAGGGAAAATAGATTGTTGTTTTCTTATGTATTTTAGACTATCGTAATAAGAATAATTACAAACCAAAATGGATGTTTATTATACGTAACTGTATTGAACAAAATGTACTTTTTAAAGGAATAAAGTTTGTTTCAAAGACTTCTAGACTCTACATGAAAAATAAAAGTTTGTATATACAATGTACCAATTCATGATAAAACACAGATTTTCATTATCAAATAAGCATTAATTCATTGATGTTCGTACATAAAGTCAAGTTACTATACGGGTGAGTTTTGGAGTGCCGGTAGACGTTATACAAACGTAAGGTGTATTTATCACTGTTAGGGCTCTACAATAACCACTGGTAGCACAGATCGTGTGTTAGCATTATTTCATTGATGTTCGAACATAGAGTCAAGATATACTATACGGGTTATCGGGATATATTATAAAAGTCTTGAAACCCACAATTGAATATCGAATATATAAAATTGAATGTCTTCAATTACGGCTATATAATTAATGGGTGTCAGGCAAACACCTCTGACCAATCGCTAAGTTGATACTATGTCCTTCACAGATTACAGAAGAGCGGCCGACAGATTCGTTTGATGTACAATAAAGGATCAAACTAGTCTTTATGTCTCATCCACAAGGTGGTGCACACAGAGCCTTCGATTTTGCTATGACATATTCCAGGGGTGGATAGAGTGAAAGTGAGCGTAACCCCGAATGAATAGAGGATGGTTTCCTGTATACAGTTTAAGTTCTAACTGGAATGCGTACTTGTCATACACATTTCTTTCACACTCGGTTACTTTTTTTCTAAAATTGATCCGAACAAATTAAACATTAAAGGAATGTTTTGCGCTCTCGAACTTTAAATTAGACACATGTTATTTAACTGAACTTTAAATTAGACACATGTTGTTTAACTGAACTTTAAATGAGACACATGTTGTTTAACTGAACTTTAAATCAGACACATGTTGATTACCTGAACTTTAAATTAGACACATGTTGTTTAACAGAACTTTAAATTAGACACATGTTGTTTAACTGAACTTTAAGTAATGGTATGCAATGCTATCGTTAAAGCAATAAGTGCCTAATGGAGACAAACGTACG